TTATACTGGGCTGCAGCTTGTTGTAGTAATTTAATAGTAACTACTATAATCAAAAGATTACGATGACCTATTTCTATATGACTTCCGTTTCTATTGTTTGCAAAATACACATAAAGAAGCTTCTATCTGAAAATACTATGTTTTTCTCATGGTTTAACAATGGACATAAACAGTACTCATCATTGAAAGTAACACCTTCCTTCAGGTTAAAAAGTTCACAGGTCAAGCTGAATCAGATGAAATTATTAATATAGTTAATAGTGTTAGTAGCACACTCAAAACACTGCAGCAACCAAAATTACCTTCTCTAAGAAGTTTCGGCTATATGTTCAAAACTACTATTTAATGAAAAGTGGATGGGTATAAATATCATCAGATTGCAGGTTCTTTCAAGGTTGGAAGAGGCCCTTGGGAAGTCTCTGGTCCAGCCTTCTGCTGCAAGCAGGGTCAGCTGTGAGATCAGACCTGGTTGTTCAGGGCATTGTCCACTCCAGGCTTGAAAACCCTAAAGGATGGACACTGCGCAGCTGACCTGGGCAACCTGTACCCCTGCCTGTCTGTCCTCAGGATAGAAAGGTTTCTTCTATCCAGCTGGAACCTCCCCTGTTTCAACTTCTATTGCCTCCTGTCCTTCTGTACCTCAGTAGAGGGAGCACTTTTTTCTATTGATTGTTTAGAAACAACCCTGTGGTAGGTTATCATTTGCCTTCGAGTAACACTACATTTGTAGCATCATTCTGAGACCGAAAGTACACGGGCATTTTAAAACATCTGCATTTTTACTTTCCTTAAGTTCTTTCATGAAAGGAATTTCTTCTTCTACACTCCCAAAGTATGCTCATCCTGATGAGCAGCCTGCACACAGCTCTGTCTTGAGCCAGTGATAATTTTAAGGTCCATCTCCCAGTGAATCCCCAGACTTTGGAGTAACACTTACTTCTAACTATATTTTATTTTGACTGTGTACCTCAGAAGTCTCAAAAGGATGCAAAGTGTAAATTTCAAACATTTTCAATTGGGACTGTCATAGCATTAAGCAAATCTGGCTTCATGAGTGTGGGGAGAAGAAAAGTAGTATTTGAAACTGCTGCAAAACAATGGTTTTGTAGGTGAAACATTTGGGTGGAGGGGCGGGGAACATAGGTAAGGAGGGATCATTTTGTTGGCCTATGAACAGAATGGCCTGTGCAATCACTTGGGAATTTGAAACTTATTCTTATTTTTTATCGTATTTGCAGCTTGACTGTTTAAGTAGATGTGCAAAGTTAGAATAGGGTATCACAGCACATACACTTGAGACAATTTGGATGTAACCTATAATCTTACTGAAACAAACCAGAACCCCAGTAATTACTTCGCATGAAAATGCCTTCTCCCCAGACTACAATTTACAAACTATATCATAAAGTGTTATTTTATTTCATTACCTGTAAAATAATAGTAAGCTTTATTTGGGGTTTTTTAATGAGATTTAAACATTTATATTCAGACATCATTCAAAAGCCACACAGATAATACAGATCCTGTCACACGTAGTTTTTGATATAAATGCCTTCAGGCTTAGAAAAGAGCACTTAAAGAAAATCCTAGCAATCTGGGGCTGCGTATTGGTTTTGCACTTGTAACTCCAACTGCAATCATAACACAAAATTTACAAACACTATCAAAACCCAAGTTTAACAAATGAACTCTAAAGCAAATAAATGCTATTCCAAATGCTGTGGTGATATTTAATAAAATTAGCACTAGTTCTTTAAAATAGTCAGTTTAAAAAAGGGTGCTTGCTCATCACCCTTCACTCTCACCTCTAGTCATCACATAAACCTATGACAAATCCCACCACTCCATTTTGCCTGTCTTTAGGAGCAATACTTTCTTTGCAGAAACACTGCATTCTTAATTCGCAAAAGGCTATCGTTTCCATTTTACTACTACTACTGTTGTAATGATAATATGCTTTTAGTGCATAGTTTAAAAAACAAAACAAAACACAAAACCCTCAACTTTTTTTTTCAAAAAAATCTCACGCCAATTATTTTATAAGCAGCTGAAACTACTCAAGGGCATAACATAACAGTGCATCTTTGATGCAATCACTTTTCAATAGCAAAGAGCCAGGTGAGAGCAGCAGCAACATGCTAAAGTCTCAGCTTGAGATTCAGGAAGCATCTTGGAAATCGGGCACTCTTCCCAGAAGTGCAGTAGCAAACACAGAAGTGCCCAAATCATGCATCAGAGAATTGCTTATTGGCAGTACTATGCCCGTATTATTGAAGCAAGAGCTGCAGAGTTTTGTATTTCTGGTACAACAAATACAATTAATCCCTCGGAACAAGTATCACCTGAAACTGTACCCCAATTCACAGTTCCCACAGTAACTCTTATGTAGTTCTTTAAGTGCTCTGGGATCTTTGTTTGGAAATAAATGTAGGAAGTGCTGGTACCCAAACCAATACAATTTCCCCAATTCATAGTAGTTCTTAGTGTGCCTAACAATTTTCTCACCAAAAAACTTGTTATAGATTAATAGATTAGCAATAACTGTCCACACAAATGTTTTTTTTAGAATGTAAGATTAGATGCTACCAAGGATATAGCTGATCTTGAATTAGCATTGGGCAAAAATAAGGATAAAAACCTGAAGTTGATGGTTTGTGAAGTCTTTAACTAAAACACATCCATTTTTGCTTTATATGAAATACAATGCATGTCTGCCAATTTTTATCTTATCACATTTTCCCATCCTTTTTCCTTTAGCCCTACTTATAGCAAGCAGGCATAAAACGTTTGCATGAGTGTCCACCTCACACTTACTTATAATTATACCTTTTGACATCATCCAAGTAGCATTGCTGTCTTAATTAGTAGTATTATCCTACTTTACCCTTAAATGTTACATATACCAAATTAAAGGAATAGTATCACCATAGGGCACAAAGAATGGAATGGATAATAAGAACAGATTGACAGGGTACAATATCTTACTCTTCTGCTTGAATGGAGTCTGCAGGAGCTACGTAATTGCTTGGGATGTAGCCTGTTTTTCCCGTAGCAATGGACCTTGCTTCCCACCAGTCTCCCTCCCTGCAATGAAAAATCAGTTATCTCTTCCACAAATAAACAATATATCATTCCCTAACACCTATAACATTCTCACATGTGAAAGGCAGGTTAAATTTAGGTAACTTGTTATTTCAATTACAAAGGCATCTAAAATAGTTTGTGCTGCACCTAAATAGATTTTTCTTTTCATTGTAAGAAACACGAGTGCCTCTTAGTGGAATTCTGTACTTTAAAGATTTGGGTTTTTGTGGGGGTTTTTTAGTGTAAAAGGAATTTATCAATATATGCAAAATGCAAACCTACAACAAAATGTTTTATGGCAGAGATGTGTAAATAAACTTCCCAGTTCTCTAGTCTTCATCTGCCTCTCCCAGATCACTTTGCCTGTATGCTGATAGTGAGCAACAAAGGAAGCATGAAGTCAGCAAATAAAATTAGAGATCTGGACAAATGAAAACTGCTACATATATGAATTAGAACTATTAACACAGCCAAAATGTGGGGGCCAGCTAGACGCACTTCCACAGCGAGAGGTCCCTTCCATGGCAATGCCCTCGCCTCCAGCATTTGCAGTGCCATGCTGCCGGCTGCGCTCACCTCCCTGTGAGATATGGAAACTTGTCAGAGAGAACCGGCAAGGTGCAGAGCCTGGGATAGGACAGCATGCGTCTCCACCTCTGCTGTCCTGAAGGGGGTAGCTGTGCCTTGCTGGAGTGGGGAGAGGAAGGATGCCACCCACCAGCTGAGGAGAAGAGGCGTGGGCCTGCCCCAGTCACTACAGTTCTACATATGCACCCAAACCCTTACCTCAGCCCGAAGGTTACCGTCTTACCAGTATCAATATTTTAACCTCATGCTTGTTGAGCACTGCATGCATTCAAGAAAAATAAAAAATAAAATAAAAAAGAATAATCCATCTGCTCTTCACTGAAATAGGATACACAGATTTCAAGAAGAGCTGAGGATCTATTTATTCCCAACAACAACCAAATGAAGTCTGTGAATGAGAACACTTACGTGTTATTTATTATCTGGAACCGTTCACCTTTCTTAAATGAAAGGTCATCTGTAGTTCTAGCTTCATAATCATATAAGGCCACAAATACAGTAACACCACCTTAGGAAAAAGAAAAAAAATTATATAGCAGTAACGCTGCAACACTTGATTTAAGAAATTGTCTGTGAAGCAACTCATCAATTTTGATTTGGAAGCAATGAAACACTCTGGGTTGCATCTCATTTTGGAAGCTGGATCAATAATCAGCTCATTTATTAAGACAGAGGAAAGCCTATAAACAAACACCCTAAAAATATGCTTTCACACCACAAAAGGCAGCTAGATACATCACTGGAAGTACATTAATAATTAGAACACTTATATACAGAAACCTGCGCAACACATCAGCAATAAAAAAAAAGCTGGCTTCTTTATTAAGTTACCTTCTTGTTAACAAGTGCAATCCTAGAAGATCCTACAACACCACAATGGTGAACCATCAGCCACTAATTTTTACAGAAGTAGTTTCCTGTTGAACTTAGCTATAAACAACTGAAGTGTTCCCAACTTTCTGGGGTTACACATCAAGATCTACTCAAGTAATCGAGTAATAATGAACAAATAAAAGTATTCTGTTGGGGACAAAGACATTTCTCTGCTTTAGGACTATTGAGTTCTTTAATTCCATCGAGTCTCCCCACCAGTGAAGCAGACCCTTGCTGCAGATGACCCATCAGTGCATTACTCTAGAGAACAAGGACTGAGGTCACAGATAAGCAGCTGCACTTCACCAACCCTAAGGAATTCGCTTCCCCATCTCACTTCTGGTATAGGGCACGTTGTTGAACATGTCCCACAAACAGGACACAAGTGAGAGAGATGGATGGTAGGAAGGCTCCTATATTTACGGTAGGAAAACATTTTCTATGCTTAAAAGAACTAAGCTATAAAACTGAGCTGAAAGAGGGAAAGGAGAAAAGGCTATATGAGATGTACAAGCTATGAGCAAAAATAAGGAACTATGTACCATAATTAGAAGAAAGTTAAAATAGAAAACTGCAGATGGGCAATTCTGAAAGACTTTTTAAGCTCTAGAAATGCTATTTCACAGTCTAATGGACATTTAGGAAGCCTAATGATAGTCCAAGCAATAACTTATTTTTAAAAGTATAATATTACATCTCTAACATGCATATGTATGTACCAGGACATATATGGAAGACCACCAACAGAAACATGTTGCATCTAATTTTAATTACAATTAACATGACTCTGATCAGAAAGGAAGAATACGTAATGCAACGGGTATTGTCTACATCTAATATTCTTTTACAATGAATACTTTCTGATGTAAGAGCTCCTAATCACTGGAATATTTTCATTTGATTTAGAGTCTTCCTGTAATTACACTATCTCAGCAGGCCTCAGCTGGAAATGAATTTACAGTTCCTCTAGGTATAACAACAAAAAATCCCCATAGGAGGTTAGAGTAAGTGACGGAGTTTTTTTAAAGTGTGATTTATGAACTGAAAATGAATTAGAATATTCCCTAGAAGTTAACAGTTCTGAATCCAAGTTAAAAATCAACACAGTTCTACCAATTTTTGCCTGCATCACTATGTTACTGCATTATTTTGATGACACAAACTGCTACACGGAGCAAGAAAATTGTGGGGATACATACCATATTCACACAACCAGAACCCAAAAGTTAGAGAAATAAACCATCCCCAGAGAGTTCTTCAGCAGATTAAAAAAATCAATACTCTCAAGTCACAATACTTCAAAAGTTTTTAGCACCATATAAAGAAACTAGAAGACTCCAAGAAATTAGAAACAAACTGTACAACATCTAGAAAGATACTAACGCGAGAACAAGAGAGAGAGATTAATTCCTCTAGGCAGTGTAGCACTAGTCAAAGTAATGGATTCAAATGTAAACCATGCAATAAGAGAATTATCAGTAATTATCAATATTTGTGTACTCTTAATTATTTTTAAGGAAAGAATTGGAAAAGCTAACACATAATCCTTGGAAATTTTTTATTTCAACACTTCAGCTACCATAAAACTTCTTTGCATTCTCATGCGCTAGTGCTTACGTGGCTTCATGAAAGGCAAGAACAGCGGTCTATTTTTGTGTTTTGATTTTCAGTAATATTCTACGAATTCAAAGTATCTGATGACTGAGAATGTGTAATACAGGAGCAGCGTGACTAACTCAGATTTCTTCTCCTTTTCTGCTCTAGAAGAATAAAAGATAGCTCAACTCTTTTCAGCCGCACTGCAGGTCTTGATGACAACCATATCATCCTCTTGTCAGACAACACGGATGGACTGGTAAGTACTACTGACGCTTAAGTCCTGTTTGACAAGCCCATCTATTCTCCTCTCTTGCGAAACAAAGGCCCACAGGATAGGATCCAGTGTTTTATTCATCACAAATACAGAAAGCTTACAGCCAGATGAAGTTCGTCATCTTACTCATTCACAAAAACACCCAACTTTGATCTGAAAAATCCATCCTGAATGTACCAAACAATTGCTGGTGCATTTTTTTTTTTAATTTAAGTGTGTGTGTGTTTGTGGATGGGCTGGTTTTACAGAAGGAGGAAGAATAATTACCTATGCAGTATCATTTTAACTGATCACAAAATGATGGGGTTGTTCCCCCAAATCAGCCTGCCTGCAGATAACTGAATTCACACTGATGAGACAGGAGACCATCTTTTCAGGGGAAATCTCTCCTGTTGACTCTGGTCCAAGATATAACATGCTTAACTACCAGCAGGAACCGGGAGAGGCAAGAGGACATCCCTTCTGGTCTCTGTAGCAAAGGATTTGTGGTACCTGGGGGGCAGCTACATCCCTGATATCTGCTAATGCCCAGGAGTGCCTGCACGCACTGCTGGAGATTCCCACATGAACAAAGAACCAGATTTAGTAAGAAGAAATACACAGAGGTTCTTGGAGGAGATGAAGATTTCTTGAAGCATGATAAACTTTCCTTAGTGGAGCTAACGAATAAAAAGAAATGCTGCTCTTATTTAATTTCTGCATATGTTCATCCAAAACAGGGAATCAGAGCTGATTCAAAAATTTTGAGACAGGATAGATGCTCATTTTAATTATTGTTTTTAATAAATTCCCAAAAAGGGAATAAGAAGTGATCATTACCTGACAATTCACATTTCCTGAATTGCTTAATGTCAAGGCCACAGTGGGTTTTCATGGATCTCAAATTTCTTGTGTTTAAAAGATTTTTAAAGGCCACTATAACAAAGTAAACATTTAAGCACTGTAACTGTGCTAACATTAGAAGTTTATGGGAAAACTAGAAATAGACCTATAAGGAATTATTTACCATGTTTTGTGAAGTGTCTGTCTAAAGCTTCTAGAATACACTACTCTCTCCTCTCTCTTGCACAAAAAAAGAATAAATAACAGCTTCCTCTCAAATATAGCCAGCAAAACAACTGAAATCAACCATGTGCACAAAATCAATGTTTTTGTAATGAAGTTTTAAGATTTTGATATAAAGGTGGGTTTATAACATCAAATGTGCACATTGCTTTAAAATGCTGTATCTTCAGAGATTTTATATCTCAGCCAAGAAGGTCTCTGCATCCTATAAATTCTATTTTTACATTTTCAACTTTGGTTTTAATATGACCACCAATAATGAAAATTCTGATGTTTTGTTTCACACATATTGTTCATATAGTAAAGTACACACATATTGCATATCCTGTTTAGCTTTATAAATGAACAGATTCAACGTTGCATTGATATAAGTAACTTAGAGCTAATCAAATAAGTCTGAAAATCAGTTTAAAATATCAATTTCCTCAAAATTGAAGTTTTTCATTTTGCACCTGTCTCCAAAAGTTTAAAGCCGTTATCCCATGTGCATCCCTTCAATAGCTTAGAACTTCTAATACAATTTTATCAACTATTCCCATTACTGCCTTTAATAAGTCTTAAATATCTCTGTGCTGTGATCCTAAACCTCCCTCCCCCAAAACCAAAAGCCAAAACACCCAATCCCCAAGCCCCAGTGACTAGTAAATACGGGCTGAATTATTGTCTGAGCACTAAAGATACTGACAATCAGAAATTGCTAAAAGGCAATTTATTTTAAATGTACAATTTATTTCTGTGTGGCAAGGGGTCACAGTACTTTTTTGCATATGAATGTCACGCTTTAATAATAAGAATAGCAGCAGTGTTTTATGTAACACTCACCTGTTAAAGTACTAGGATATGTACTTGGCACAGCTGAAAATGAGGATGATGCTCCTCCAAAGGGTGTCATTCCTGAGGGCCCTCCAAAAGGAGTCATGGAATGACTATTAAAATTAACTGCTGATCCCTTTACTGACGGTGACTGTGTTGCTTGGCTGGAGTCTGATCCATAATGGCTGACGTGGGAAATAACAGGTTCTGGAGCATTTTCAGTTCTGTATTTCATGGCTGGACCTTTATCTTCTTTGCTTTTAATGCACCCCATGGTTGCTTCTGTGAGAATGAGAGGAAGAAATTGAGTTCATCTCCACGTTGCATCTTTTGATAGTTAAAACAAAGATTCCCAAAAAGTTACCAAAAATGCTCATTTATTACTGTTTAAAAAATCCCAAACCCCAGCAATTGCTACCATGTACAGATTACAAAGTCCGATGAAGAAGTGTTCTGGAATAAAATCTAAACCATTCCCAGACTAGAGAAGACCCCATTATTTTCCCTTACAATATCACATACTAACAGCACATTTGGATTATTCTTCATCCCAGTTCCTTGGTGGACTGTAAACAGTAAAAAAGTAAAAGAAAAGAACAAAAAAAAGGAGTTAGGCAACAGACGAGGAAAAGACGCTGAAGACTTCTACAGCAGGGTGGAAGGGGAAACAGAGGTGACAAATCCAGAGTCAATTATATAAAGCAAATCCAAAGCAATTATACGAAGAAAACAAGTGGAGCATTCCTGCTTTCTTTTTTAAGCACCTGTGCAATAAAGTCCTGACCTGCTGGTGATTTACAACTAATATCTTTAAAGCTGTAGAGCAGTTTGCATCCATTGCCAGCCCCCAAAAGCAACTCACAAACAAACATGGGATATTCATGGCCACAGGGTAGGGTTAAGCTCTACAGTCTAACTAGAATTAGGGAAAAAATTATAATAGTAATTACATTATCTGTAGTAGTTTAGAAACTGAACTGTGCCCACACAGGTGACAATTGATAGCCCTGATGGCCCAAGATTGCCACCAGCTCCCACTACAGGCAGACTGTGCCAGAGCTGTTTACTAGGGGGACACCTATTACCTGCTGATGGAGATCATCAGTGTCGCCAACAATTAAAATTACTTGGTCTTAAGAAGTCAGCACCTGCCATTTATCAGGTGGTGACAACTGAGAGCAAGCATTTTCTGGCTTACCCCAGCTGGGAAACAAATCAGGAAGAAAACAAGAGTCTCTATTAGATGCAGCACTAGTCTGGCATAAAAATTCCTGTATTCTTGGGGAAAAAAAAAATTACTTTAACTTCAAAAAGAGAAACCTCCACAGAAATAGCAGGAAATCTACTGCTCCACATTCTCTAACAAATCAGTTAAGAGAATAAACAGCAGCAGTCTGAAAGCATTAAAAATACGGCTTTTGATAATTACAACAATAGTTTCATGGAGCGTAACTAACAAGTGGTTAGACACACAATGGGAAACAGTTTCCCTATTTTTTTCCTTTTCAATTCTCTCTTTCCTTGTTAACTATCAGACACAGAAATATGTAACAAAGTAAATCTTACTTAACAAACACTGCCATAACATAGTCTCACTGAGAGAAACTAATTCCCTTCCTATAACTAACCATTACAATATTAAAGATACTGTAATTTTCAAGAACTGTGAATCAGAGTTCCTGGAAAGAGGAAAGTCTGTAGCTGGTAAAACACCATACGAAATTTCCTGCTCATAAAATTAAGAATATTTGCCTTATTTCAGCCCCTAACGCTGTAATGTAATACAATACTGGTGCAGAAACAAGCAGCAAAGTCAAATAATTGCATTGTTACAAATCTTGTCTAAGAGTTTTACATGGAATAATGAATCATCACAAAAGCACACCGCATCCATTTCTTTTTTTACTTCTGATGCGATTATTGCCAATTTACCAATTGTGCACAAATGTTAATAGACCAAGACTCAAATACATGCACGAAGAATCTAATGTGTCTAAATACCTTACAAAAGAAATCTTGCAATTTACAGTAGAAAAGCCAGTTGTTAATTGATGGTACAAGTCAATCAAGTACCCAATCACATCCTTTTAATTTCTCTACCACTGCAAATAGATGCTGTAATTAGAACAATTTTTTTGGGCCATGTGGCTGCCTAGTGTGAATTCTTGCCTTACTTTGAGGCCTATTTCTTTGATTTTCTTTAAAAAACTGCAATCAAAGTTTCCTGCTAGCACTGAATAAACGTCCAATCACCTTTGTGAAAATAGGTTTGCTAATAGTACTGATTCCTTCCTTTAGTTGAAAATTAAGCATTGTACATGATTCAAAAGTCCAGCACGCTACTTATGTTAATAAAGTAGATTAGAGGGAAATGTATGTTCATTTGTACGATTATGTGTTCATCACAAATATTTTTCCTCCTTTACTTTTGGTATTTGGTTAACTTGTAACAGGCTGGTAAGATTTCAAGATTAAAAAAATAAAGAAATAAATTTACCAAGTCTGGTAAAACTGCTGGATTCTGCCCACAGTATTGCTGATTTGACCAAATGGCTGGTGACAACACTGCCCTGTACTGCAATTATAACTGCTATCACCCATAGGTGCTCACCCACTTAAGCTGTGATTAGCAACAAGAAGTTACCACTGGTATACTTGAGTACTGCAAAGAAAAGCCTTTATTGAAGACCTGGACTCATTCTAGAGGAATAGAGTCAGCCTCTGCCTTGCTTCTCCCCTCCCCAGCCACTTCACTGTTAAGGTAATCTTCTTTCAGGGGTTAAAGAGATTAACAACAGAGATTTAAACAGCACTTCAAAGAGAAAGACATTCAGAAATAAGCAGACAAAATTTCAAAAGCTCTACTTTTATAACTGCATACCCACAAAACAAAATTAAGGAAGCAAACTCCTTAGTTTTAAAAAGTCAAAAACATAGGTGGAAAATACTATAAAATACTGTGTATGGATTTATGAGGAGAAATTAAGAGGAATGAGGGAGGGAAGATGACATAAACCAAGAGTGAGTAGTAGGGAAGGAAAAAATTATTGCCCACCCTATGGGTGGAAAAACCCAATGACATTACTGTTTAGTCTTGTAATAAATTACTGGATAAAAAAAAAAAAATCCCTAAGCAGCTGGTACGCAATGTTGGATTTGATTATTCTCGTACTGCATTTCTCATTTCTTATCAAAAATGTATATAATTGAAATAACTTTACAACTATTTTTATCACCCTTTGTCTGACCAGCAACAAAATATTAAGGAATACATCTCTGTCACAAAATTCACAGTTCCCTTTCTGAAGCACCAAACTCTTTTCAGAAATAGATACAGATGAGAAGTTCCTGTTTGCCCTGTAGAAACCCATCTATTCAAAGAAATGCTGGCCCAAGGTATGTTATTCACAAGCCACTGATTTCTCATTAATTAAATCATTATTTTAGACCAGACTAGTGTCTGAACTACTTGAGTACCTTCAGCAACTTGTTCTTTCTTTGAAACAAATACTCTCCTGTTGGTTCTGAGGAGCATGCCCATGCATTTGGGGGGGGGAGGGGGGTAGGAATCAGCTTGCTGGAGGTCTATCAAGAAATCATGTTCAGAAAGGCATGGAATAAAAGCACAGATGTCTTGTTCTGCTTTCTAGATGAAAACAATCCTATGTTAGAATGTTTTCAAGAAGGAACAGAAGCTAAAATGATTACTGGAAGGACAGCTGAAGGTTAGCAGGATGCCCACAAAAATCAATAGAAGAATGAGAGTACTCCAGGAAGTAGACATCAAATGAGAATTCAGTGACACCTAATTTGACTTGGGCTTTTTGGAGAAGTCATACAAAGGGCAAAAGTCCATTGTCATTCAATACTCTAAAACCTCAGATAATGACAGAGGTCAAACAAGAGAGCTCCAAGAAAGTTAATGCTGCCCTCTTATCTTCCCAACTCCATTTGATAGCAGAGTGCCAGATCACAAGGAAAGCTTTATTCAACAACAATTGAGAAGCGTGGCCAGTACAGTCTTTGTCGGGTTTTCTTCTGCTTTCCTTTCAGAAGGATGACCTATCAGCCCAAGAAAAAAACCCGAGTTTTTCCTCAGGAGTCATCATATCCTAGGATACTGACAAACGGTTCCCTCAGGGTGTCTGCAGCCTTGTCCATCCAGCCCGGAGAGGTGGGTGTCACAAGGGAACCACTCGTTCATCCAGTACGTCTTTGATCTTTCCAGTTGATAGTTACAGAAGTTACCTACTCACTGGTTCCTTGGGACACAAGGTTCTTGGGAGTGCTTCAACAAAGGTCTCCTACTAAGCATGAAGGAAAATGCTAGAGCTTTCTTTGAAAGAGGTGATTTTAACTCAAGTGAATAAATTGACAATCTGTTACAGCTAGCTGCCTCAGAGCAAAGCAGGCTGCAAAGCCACCATATTCATTTTTTACCCCTACTCTACTCATTGGCATCAAGATTTTGAGGGCTAGATGTTAGCCTCTGAAACCCCAAAGACCAAAAGCTGGGAAAGCCTTACATTTGTTTCATTTGCTGGAATGGATTTGATAGCAAAACCTATTTGCTAGAAAAAAAAACCAAGAAAAATGAGTTTCCTCTTGGGGCCAGCTGGAGGTACTCTTCTGATCTTGCACTTTTGTTACGATATAGCATGTCCCCAGATGCCTTCTGGAGACTTCATCATGATGTAAGGCCAGAACAACAGCCGCACGTAGCCATTGCGACATGCCACAAAGGGAAAGACGCTCTAGGGAGGTGCTCTGTTTTCAACCTCTCATACTAAAACTGTGCAAAAACTAAATGCAAGACGTAGGGAAAAGAAAAATTGCTAAGGGGAAGGGAGGGTTGCAACATTTCTTTTTTCCATTCCTTTTGATTACTGAAATTGTTCATACAGCCAAAAAGAGCACATAAGTAATTTTTCACTACAAAGAAAGAGCCAAGTTAGAATGAGCAAGTCAAATCTCTTTTCAGAAGGATACGGCAAGACTGCAAATATCCTCCTGCCTTAAAACAAACAAAAAACTCAACTAAAAACCACACACCTCTGCTACATAACATAAAAAAAAATTTAACTTTAGGTTCACAAATTGCTAATAAAAAGACAAAAAAAAATAATTAAGATTTCCACTGCTATTCTACCTTCACTTCTCAGCGTTAGCAAAAAAAAATTAAATTGTTTCTGTCAAGAAAAGAAGCGCCTTCACTTCTCGAATGTGAAGCATATCTTACATTAACTTCCAACTCAAGTCATGATTTAAAGTTATTAAAATTTCATGCAATGATGAACACAGGATATTCTGCAGAAAATTCACTAATGGATCCATTAGCTGACAGCTGACTATTTGGTCAAACAAGTGCGGAGCTGACTCCGTATGCCACGGGAGACATGCAACCTATACCAGCTTTTCGTATACTAGGCAAACAATGCAGAGTATCCGCCAAACAGCTGGTTTCAGCCGGTGGTATCAAAAACTCATTTATTAGAGATGACATAGACTGAAAGAAACAAAGATAACTGGAAAACAGACTAACAACCCCTTTGGCCAATACTATAACATTCAATTAATTCAGTCCATCTTTAACAGGTATGAAAATATGGGTGGGCTTTTCTGTCTACAAAGCAACCTGCCATGTTTGTAAAGGAAAAAAACCTAAAGAATTGCCCTGTGTTCTTTGCAGAGTATATATATTTTTTTAAAATTATGCAGTTTTTATGATGTGATATAATTTATTTTTTATGAGCTGTCATTAATTGCAAAGCTTGCTTATTTTACCATGAACAACCCATCGCATTTCAAAGAACGATGTTCTACTGGATTCAGTTTTATAATTAGCAATAACATTAGTGTAATGAGACCTTAGAGAGTCTGCATCATTATGCTTTTAAAGTGCAACTGACATGACCTTGTAATTAATGATCTAATAAGGAGCAAAAGTGAAGATAAAGGAAGAAGCATTAAAAGGAAAAAGATACTGAAGCAAGGATTTAGGTTACTAGAATTTCAATGTTTGCTACACATCTTCGTGCAGTTCTACCCAGAAAAATAACTATAAAACAGACCTTAGGTTGCCCATACACTAAAAATATATTTAAAAGTAAAGAAAAATCCTCTTTATCACTGACTAATGCAATCTGAAATTTTTGATCCTAATGTTTCTACAGACCAAATTCTGCTTTTATCATGACAATACAAATATATTCATGGAAAAATTCAGGGGCTGCTGTGGTAATGGTTTTGATTTCATAGAAGCAGAACAAACTACAGATTGTTTGCTAATAAAGCTACAGCTAGCAAACCCAGTGTAGCAAACAGAGAAAAAACGAGGAGTATAAAACTGCTTTTCTAGTTGGACATTTTGTATTTCAGAGTTAAAAGCTGTTTGAAATATTACATATTTCTGTTCATGTTTTTTACAGGAATCAGAATTTTAAGTTTGCATTACATTAATGACTGAGATTGATGCTTCTACTAGAGGAGCTAGTTACCTGGCTGACAAGATCACTACAACTGTGCTCTGAAGGAACACCAGATCTCAAAACACTACCTGGAAAATTAGGATAAGCAGGAATTGCATAAAAAAAGAATAAGGTCCTTCAATCCTTCATGTTCTTCCATAATTTCTAGTCTTTTTTTTTAATGGAAGACAAGAAGTTTGTTGGAAGTGTACTTCCTCTGAGGTTTGAATGGCTTAGATGTGGGAGACTTGTATCAGACCTTGGACATCATATCTATGAAGGAGACTGAGGATTTCCAGTCCTCCAATTTGAATCATCCCAAAGGCTTCTCTCCTGAAGAAACATTTACTGTCCTTGTTGGAACTAACAGTTAGGAGATGGAGCTGCCCCAGCAGGCAGTACAACTCTGCTACCAATCTGCATCAGGCCCTGCCATCAGACTGCAAGGTCCTATTGGATGCCAGGTTACACAGTCGAAGGAAAAATTAACTACTGTGACAACAAGTTCTAATAAAAAATAAGTGGAATTAAGGATTATCAGTGAGGCAAAGTCAGGAGAAATGTGAGCACTCTCAGTTTTCCCTTTTGATCACATCTTCCTTTCATCTGGACCAAACACGTAGGATCTCCACCCACTCACTCTGTATTTGGACAGCTGAATCTGTAGAGGTGATCTTTCATTTTAAAGGTAGGCAAAGGTTGCAGGAGCATATTGGAGACAATGGTCATGTCATGGATGACGCATGGCTGGCTCTGCAAAATACAGACTGATAAAATAATGTTTGTTTATAATCAGTTTCGGCTACACTATCTGAGATAGTGTAGGTTTGCTTTGACCAGATGTATGCAAGCATAGCAAGAAAAGGTGGATTTTCCAATCAGACTAGTAAGTGGTCAGGAAAGGCAGACTAGAAGTGGAACAAAGCAAGCCTACTGTAATTTTAAAGACACTTCTAATCAAAGAAGATCTAAGCTCAGTATCCTGTCTTCAATAGTGGCCTTTGCCTCTAACCAGGAGCATTTCCTTCACCATGGGCCTGGGCATGGACTGACAACAAATAAGATTGGCTCTTTGTAGAATGAGTAACCAGCAGGAGGTGCCTCAAGATGAGAGGAGCAGGATGAGCACAGACTGCTCCAGCCTCCACCAATCTGTGGCTCAGAAAGTCCACAGTTAGACGGAGACCAGGGACTCTGCTACATGAGAAAAGTCCTACAGGTGTGACCTAGCTTATGAATTTCAACTAATGTAGTGATGTTGATGCAACATCTGCACAGGATTTGTGTTCAGGTATAAGTATGCCTTTACTTGAATTGTTTTGTGCTGACTGGTTTAAGTCAGAATAATCACATCCAAGAAAATAAAAATAGTTATTACTATAATGATATAAACATTGTAACTTTCCATTTTAGACAAGGTTTCTGAAAACCCACAAGGGGTGAGTGTCACAGCCAACTGTGGACTAAGATCTTCCAAGTGTGACTGTAGCAGCCTGACTTATTCTGATACACTTGAGCAAGGCTTCCTCATCAAAGCTGTTCAAGCATCTGAAAAGCACACTCCCATCATCAACCTCCTTGTCCTCCAGTTGCTCACAGAGCAATCTCCACTTCAGCTGGAAGATGCCTACCCTGTGTGCAAGGCAATAGAAAGCACAAAAGAAAGAAGATGCTGGCTGGAAAAAAACAAACAAACACCACCACCCCCGCCACCCAAAATACCAACCACCCTAAACCAACCTGCAGCAGGCACAATGCCTAGCCGGGGGTACCTGACTGACAGCCAGAGGGAGCTGCTTCTAACTTCCAGAGCAGACAAAATATGTCAAATTTACATGTTTAAATTTCATTTTAAAAAAATGCTAAATAGAACTTCTATTTTAAGAAAGTTTGTTTTCAGGATTTATTCTGAATTTTCAGTGAAGTCAGCATATTGTTCACATCCAGAAAGAGTGAAAAATAATTCACGCTGTTGTACATCCAAACGAAAAACTTACTGACAAACCTAGGGCATATGGTGCAAAATATGCAACAACAATGGTTTAATTTTCTTTATTCCAGCAGGCAAGATCACAAGGGAGAGATTAACTAAAATATTGGAATTGCAAAAGCAATTTTATGTGCTGAAATAGATAATGCATATACATGAGACCATTTTTAAAATTTAGAGTTACAATGTCTAGCCATACAATTTCAAGCCTTTACCACACAAAGACATTTTCTCTGACAACAGATGACACCGCAGACAAAACAACCAATATATTGTCTAGACAGCATTATTGCTGCTCCATTGTCTTGAACATTTAAGTATACAGTCAAATAAATAAATGCTAGCAGAAAAGGGCAATTCTGTTGTTTTTGGTTTTTTTTCAGTGCAATAACTATTTTTATTAATTTGTAAATAATTACAATTACCTTAAAAACTAAAAGTCTGATATATTCAAGAAGTCTGGCCAAAAGATTGTTTCAGATTACAATAACATGCATGTCATATCTTGTCAAAACTATCTAGCCCATTCCAGACAGGATTTAGGAAGCAATTTATAAATAGAAAGATTTTCTTTTCATTGAATCCTATTTGGAAAACAACAAAAAGTATGCCTGGTATCATAGAACATTTTCATAGAATCACAGAATGGTTTGGGTTTGAAGGGACCTCAAAGATCATCTAGTTCCACCCCCCCCTGCTGCGGGCAGGGACACCCTCCACTAGACCAGGTTGCTCAAAGCCTCATCCAACCTGGCCTTGAATGCTTCCAGGGAGGGGGCATCCACAACCTCTCTGGGCAACCTGTTCCTGTGCCTCACCACCCTCACAGTAAAGAATTTCTTTCTAACATCTAATCTAAATCGACCCTCCTTCAGCTTAAACCCATTACCCCTTGTCCTGTCACTACACTTCCTGATAAACAGTCCCTCACCAGCTTTCCTGTAGGCCCCTTCAGGTACTGGAAGGCCGCAATTAAATCTCCCCGGCGGCTTCTTTTCTCCAGGCTGAACAACCCCAACTCTCTCAGCCTGTCCTCATAGGAGAGGTGCTCCAGCCCTCTGATCAGCTTCGTGGCCCTCCTCTGGACTCACTCCAACAGCTCGATGTCTCTCTTGTACTGGGGCCCCCAGAGCTGGATACAGTACTCCATACATTTCATACATTCAGTTTTCAACCATTCTATTTAAGTATATTATTTCCAAAAAAGGATCCCTCCAAAAGTTATTTGAAAAGCAACTTTTAAATATTGTTTACTAAAGTAAACTAACATTACGTTTTCTGGGTCTCGCAGCAGGAAGTATGCAAACCACCTTCCCAAGGGACATCTGCATTACAGAAAAAGTGAAGTAAAACTTACATGGTAGAAGAACATTTTGCAGCATTTTTGTCCTGAAAAATTCTATCAAAATTTAAGAAGTAATTTCTTTCGAAGTTCAACTATGAACTACATATGAAAAATCGACTACAACATTTGCAAGCTCTCAGAAGTTCAGAGATACTGAAATTTTTATTAATCTGTAGTATTTTTCATCTTCTCAGCTGGGCATACAGCTGAAGTGGCAATTACATTTTAAGATGACAGAGGAATTCAGTATCAGCAAGAATCCAGTTGGAACTTAATTTAGTCAACTTAGAAATATAAAGGAAAAGAAGATTCAAAGGAACTTAAAAGATGAATCAAAAAAAAGATCCTATAATAAATGACTGTTATATCCACTCAAATTATAGCTCAGGAACACTGCTAGGGAATCTCACGGAACTCGGACATAATTTATTTGGTGTGTGTTTAGCACACTGCTACTTTACATTTGCACATACCTGCTTTGTAGAGATTAATTTTCCCAGCTACTGTTTGCCAAATGTCACTCTAAGTTGAAAGTAAATCCTCCTTTATTCTCAATGCTATTTTATCTGAATATAATTGACATGATTAGCATGTTAACAAAAATCAGTAATTAAAGTATTTAAATCCAATTACTGACAAAATGTTGCCACTCATTTATACAAGGGCCATATACCCAGATCTCCTTCAGCAATTAGCTCTTTGCTGAACAACAGGAATTTCAAGCCACCAGCTGGGAAATATCAACCTTTTGACTAAAACAAAAAGTAAAAGTATGTATAAACAATTACAACTACAGACATACACTGTTCTTCATGATTCAACAGCTTATGTTTTCCTTTGTACATAAAAAACAAGTGAAAAGTACAATTAAATTGTAAAGAAATTCAAAATTAAACAAAAAAAAAGATGACACCTGCTAAATAACACCCTTATTAAAAGGAAAGAGCTGGATGATGTTTTAACTAAACAAGAATTATTATCCTAATAGCTATCATTACTGCTGTTCCATTGCTTTCTACACTGACAGATATAATAGTATTCACAGGCAAAAAGACCAGGAGAAATTACCTTAATTAGCTTGTCAGGCATCTTGCACAACAGAGGCCATAGGGCTACCCTAAATTAATTTATCTTTTTACGGTTTTGAATGTATGCACATGCTCAAATTCAAAGTGACCAATTACGGAAAGTTCACCCACACTGGACAAGTCCTAAATTTTAAACACAGTAACCACTAGAAGCACCTGCCTCCTGTCCCACCTTTAACACCAACATCCAGCCAGCAATCTTGTTCCACCTTTGCCTCGGAGCCCTACCATCACCCCGTTCCTGTTCCCTGCACAAGAAAGCAGATGCCCTTGGCAAGACTGATGCAGTCCCACTAGACTCCAGCCTAACAAGTGGCTTTCCAGTCACTCAACCACCTCATTTTCTCCAAGGTCTCTCAGTTTTTTCAGTGCCTCCCATTAACAAGGATCACCAAGAACAGATGTGATATTCCAGGTAAGGAATATTTCTTAATCCTTCTTTCATAGAATCACAGAATGATTTGGATTGGAAGGGACCTTCAAAGATCATCTAGTTCCAGGCCCCATGGCCATGGGCAGGGACATCTTTCACCGATCAGGTTGCTCAAAGCCCCATCCAACCTGGCCTTGAACACTTCCAATGATGTGGCATCCACAACTTCTCTGGGCAACCTGTTTCAGGGTCTCACCACCCTCACTGTAAAAAATTTCTTCCTCATATCTAATATAAATCTACCGTCTTTCAGTTTAAAACCATTGCCCCTGGTCCTATTGCAACAGGCTCTGGTAAAAAGCCTCTCTCCATCCTTCTCATAAGCTCCCTTTATATAGTGAAAGGCCACAATAAGATGTCCCCGGAGCCTTCTCTTTTCCAGGCTGAACAACCCCAACTCTCTCAACCTGTCCTCACATGAGAGGTGCTCCAGCCCTCTGATCAGCTTTGTGACCCTCCTCTGGACTTGTTCCAACGGTTCAATGTCCCTCTTATGTTTGGGACCCCAGAGCTGGATGCAGTACTCCAGGTGGAGTCTCACGAGAGTGAAGTAGAGGGGCAGAATCACCTCCCTCAACCTGCTGGTCACACCTCTTTTGATGCAGCCCAGCATACGGTTGGCTTTCTGGGGTGCAGGTGCACATTGTGAACTCATATCCAATTTTTTATCCACCAATATCTCCAAGTCCTTCTCTGCAGGGCTGCTCTCAATTAGGTCCTCCTCCAGTCTGTATTGATACCGGGGATTGCCCTGACCCAGGTGCAGGACCTTGCTGAACTTCATGAGGTTCACATGGGCCCATCTGAGACTCTAGTATTTATTTTGGCAGCAGCCACTGTCCCTTATGATTCTCAGGTAATTTTCAGTACTGTTCTAGAACAGAAAAGTCCAGATCCTTCTTGCTAGAAGTACAATAATAATTTTGCCATGTTAAAGAGGCATGACTCTCAACTATGTGGAGCTGTGAGACAAATTTGGGGAAAAAAGTCTATCACTCATCTGAAAATGGAGACAACAGGACACAGTAAGAGTCTCACCATTACCCTACCCAGAGTTTCTTAAAGTTCTCTCCAATACTCCATTGCCCTGTTCATCACCTACCCTGTGAGCACCTGGCACTATGTTTTGCAATGTGCATGGAGCTCAGCCATGCAGCAGCTCTACCTTCCAAGCTCATCTGTGTCTGCAGGAGAAAGACATTTCCGCTGCACCTCAGCAAGCACACCACAGAGAGAAAGCATTCACTTTCTTCTTGTCTTGGGAGGCAAAACTGGCTTATTTGGAGATTGCAGTCACTTGTCCTAGGCCAGGGTTGGTTTCTGCAAAGTAGGTTTATCCTCTGTCTTCAACAGGAAAGTTTTTTTCCAAATGTGGGCATTTCACTAGCAATTTTGTCAGCCTGCTACCATAAAAAAAGAAAAAAAAAATCTTAATTCTTTGCTTTAAAAACCAAGTTGTTACTTTCCCTCATGTTCATGTTGCTACATTTGCCTAAGGAATCAAACTACTCAATTCTTTCCAGCTCCAGAGTAGCAATTAGAGTGACATGTATGGGGTGTACCAAACCTGCAATGATGACATGTAATGGAAAACCACATAGCATTTGCTTACCATTCCTTATTGGTTTTCCTTTGGACTCATCTTCTGCTGATTTTTCCTCTACCACTTACAACTGTGGAAAGGGCTTTAAACACAGTTCATAAAAGCATTTCTGAACAAGATGTCAAAGACAAACTTTTCCTGAGGGTGGTGTTATTTGATGGAATGAAACAAAGGGGAACCATCTCAGCATCTCCTGTGATGGGGAAGTTTATCAAAATACAGATGAAAAAATATTGAAGTCTTCAGACATCTTCTAAGGATACGTTAAAGATGACATCAGTTTTCTGTTCATCTTTTTAAGAGGTTTTCCATATTAGGCAATGGGCCTTCCCTCTAAGTTAGCATTTTCCAGCTCAGATTACACCCTACCATGCAGGCAAAACAATCCAAGCACGAACTAGCCGGCAGCACGTAAAACAGATTCCAAAGATGTGCTAAGTGAACACAGCTGATAACTTTGATAAGTTAGCCACTGTAAGGGATACAAAATGAAACAGTGATAGATGAGAGAAGGGCGTGAAGGGGACAGTGAAGAGATGCTAGAGCAACAACTGGAGTGCTATGAGTTCTCTTTAATAAAGAAACAGAGTATTAGTAATCAAAGAACAAAGCAAAGAGCAATAGAAGAGAGTTTTGACATTTTCTGTGTAGTGTAAATACTGTTAAGCTACAATGGGGTACACCACAGCACAAAGACATCCTTCAGTTTTTATCGACAGGTTCACACAATGCTCTTCTAAACAGGTTAGTAAAATGCCTTGGCCATTTTGTGTTCAATCACTCTGGTACTTTGTTTTCAGGAGTACACAACGTATATTTAAAGATTCTCTTCAGGCTCAGTAACTACTGTTTAGTAGCAAATTTTCTTGTTTCTCACCAGTAAGCAGAGCTTTTAGCCATACTCTTTTGACTCCAAAAGTATTGCCAGAAGGAAGGAAAACTTCCGTTTTAATTAAATGTTAAAGACAGAAACACTGAAGGGTGGGGGGAAGATATTAGGGTTTCAGCACAAGCCTGCACGTCAAACAACTTATTCCTTGGTAACTTCCATGAGTTATTTAAATTTTGGTCACAGGTTAGAAGGATTTAAGTTATGAGTAATAATGAAGGAAACAACAATTAACAATATTTTAAAAGAATTCATGCTGCCTGATAGAAACACTGGAGTGACAAAACTTTTCATCTTCAAAAATAAGCAGCATGCTTAAAAGAGCTGAAGTATGTACCTCAACACACATTTGACAAGCTCCAACTGAAAATTTCAATAAAAACAGGTATTTCTTGAAAAAAAA